CGGTGGCTCTCGCCGGCAGGGGCTGCCACACCGTTCTGCAGTGAAGGAGCTGGGATGTTAGGGCGAACCGAGCGACACTACCCCTGGCCACCGGGAGAGAGAGTGGGGGTGCCTAGTTCAGGCTGCCGGGACTTGGGGCACCTCTGCGGGCCATGTGGTTCCCCTTTCCTCTTGGTGAGACCAGGCCGTCGGGCTCCCCTCCCCGAGCGAGCTCCCTGTGGTAGGGACACACCAGCAGTGCCGACTCATGCCACAGGTCCGTGGGTGTTACTTCGGAGAGGGAGGACGTCTGGGACTGGAATCGTAACCGCGGGAGAAACCAGGTCCCTGCGCCCAGGGCTTCGCCCCTGCAGTGGCCCTTCCTGTGAGCCCGTGTCCGGGCTGGGCAGGAGTGCAGCGTATGACTCCGTCCCACCAACTAGGGATCGGCTCAGGCTTTGTAAAATCCCTTGCTGTGTAGGCAGAAGTGAGTAGACAGTTGCTGTTCTAATGAACTTAGGAGTGAGGGCGGGGCAGAGTGAGGAGAGCTGGAGGGAGGCAGGCAGGGCGGCTCCTGGGCTCCTGGGCTCCTGGGCTTGCCCTGGAGAGCTGGCGAGGCTGCAGCAGCCCGGGAAGCCGAGGAAAGCAGTCTGGGGCTTCTGGCCGGGGAGCTTGGGGGATGGGGATTCTAAGTCAGGAGAGGATGAGAGCGGGGAGAGTCCCTGTCCTGCATGGAGGCGGCAGGAGCCCCGGGAAGGGCCTAGGAGGCGGCTCTGCCAGCCGCACTGCCCCTCCAGGGTGCCAAGTGCCCTTATAGGGAGAAGGGTGCTGGTCCTGCCCTCTGAGCCAGGGCTGCCACACCTGTCCGGTGCCCACCGGGTGGGGCTTTGATCCATAGGAGGCTCCTAAACCCGAGCTCCCCGCCCCTGCAGCCCCCGTACTCCTGTACCCCCCACCCAACAAGTCAGGGCTCTGGGGTTAGCGCGGGGTGAGGATGGTCAGAGCCGGTGCAGCAAGGCCCAGCCTGGCCCCGCCTTGGTCTGGCACAGCCATCCGAGAGGTTGGGGGGTGGCTTGTGCCTGTCCCTGAGACACTCGATGAGCAGGCAGGGCAGGAAGCCACAGGGACCCGGGATGGCTGGCTGGCTCAGATGCCCGGAGTTCCAGACACGCAGGAGGGTGTTCACCCATGTGGGTGTCAGCTCCCCTCAGTGGGGTTCGGGCTTCTCATTCGGTTCACCCCAAACTAAAGCGCCAAAGGGAGGCTTCCCCTGGGTGCCAGTGCTGACCGGACCACCAGGTACCCTGCTCAGGTGGCGTCTCTGGGATCCCTGGGAGGCCCACCTGGGAACCGAGGTCCCTGGGTCCCTGGACGGCTCGGCCTGGAGCAGACACTGGCTCCCGGTACCAGGAGGGGGCAGCATGCTGCCCGACGCGGAGATACCGTAGCTTCTGGCCACAGAGCTCAGAAGCCATCCGGGCAGCGGGGAGCAGCGCCTCGTGCCACCTCCCGCTGCAGGGCCAGACTCACCCCACCTCGGCACAGTGGGGTGGCCTGTCCAAATGTCCCTGTGCCTGGGGACAGGGTCTTGCCAGCTGACGCTTCCTCGGGGGACAGCAGGTCCTGACTCCAGACTTCATTCAGAGTCTGGGCTGCAGGAGGGAGGCGACCCCACGCCCTTGGACTCTCCTCCCTCACTTTTTCAGGCGCCTCCTGGTGGCCCTGGCCATCACTGGCTGCCTCCCTGCAGGGTCACGCCCCGTCCTTTTGGTTTCTAAAAGGCATCGGAGACCGCCCTGTGGAGCCGCAGCCTGAGCCTGGCCTGTCCCTCTGTGCTGGCTTAGGCTGAAGGGTGGACTTGGGCCCCCGGCAGACCTGGCACTGATCCCCGTGAGGAACGAGTGGGGGCCCCTGCCTGGCCCCAGGCCCCACCCCGGCCCCAGACCTTGCCTGGCAGCTAGCTGCTCAGCAGCTGCGCTGCTCTGGCCCACAATGACCCTGCTGGAGACCATGGCGTGGCCCTGGCTTTCACCACGGCCTCACGGACGGGTCAGGACCGCTGTGGCTTCGGCAGCCCGGCTGGCAGGGACGGCTCCCCTGCCTGCCGCCAAGGCCTGTGCTGTCTG